AGTTCCGATCCGGTGTTAATGTGTATGCAACAGAAATCAACGGATATGATGATAATAATAATAATAATAATAATAATAATAATAATAATGATAAAGACCACAAACAAAAAAAGTGTCTCCTTATTGATATGGCAGTCCCTGCTGACTGCAATGTATCTTTGAAGATATTCAAAAAGCAGTCAAAATACAAGGACCTTGAAATAGAAATCTCAAAAATGTGGCATGTGGGAACATCAACAATCCCTGTTGTAGTTGGAGCCCTAGGACTGGTTGGAAAAGATTGCAGTAGACTAATTGAAGGGATTCCTGGAAGTCCATGCCTCAAGGAGATACAAAAAATTGTTATGACAATTATAGCCCACACTTTACGAAGGGCTTTATCTATGTAATTTTTTTTTTTTTATTATTTATTTTTTTTTTTGTCAGGGGAAAGTGTCATGATGCCATTTCTAAACTTAGGTCGCTGGACGGGACCCGGAAAGAAATGTGTAAACACCAGAAATCAAAGAAAATAAAAACAATAATAATAATAATAGAATAAAGTCACAAGTACACCTCACATATTACGAAGACCTTTATATATGTAAAATGTGTGTGATCTTTATATATATATATATATATATATATATATATATATATATGAGGATCAGTGGAAGGTGTCATAAAGACTTTTTCTGACCTGGTCTCTGGTGGGGAACCGGAAGGAAATATGTATACAACAGAAACCCAAGAAAATAATAATAATAATAATAATAATAATAATAATAATAATAATAATAATAATAATAATAAAATCTCGAAAATGTGGCATATGGGAACATCAACAATCCCTGTTGTAGTTGGAACCCTAGGATTGGTTGGAAAAGAATCCATTAGACTAATTGAAGCGATTCCTGGAAGTCCATGCCTCAAAGAGATACAAAAAATTGTTCTGAAAGTACAGCCCACACTTTACGAAGGGCTTTATATATGTGATATTATTTTTTTATTATTTTTTTTTTTTGTCAGTGGAAAGTTGTCATGATGCCATTTCTAAACTTAGGTCCCTATGCGGGACCCGGAAAGAAATGTGTAATCGCCAGAAATCAAAGAAAATTATAATAATAATAATAATAATAAGGATAATAATAATAATAATAATAATAATAATAATAATAATAATATATACTCTGATATGTGATAAGGCATGTCTCTCGTATGTTCTCATCTTGTTAATGACTAATTATATATGAATATAAAGCCTATAATTTTATAGATGAATTTAAAATCAGGAAAAGAATGATTTTCATTGGTCATGGACTAATTAAATATTTACTAAAATAATTCTTGTCTACATGCATCTAAATAAGAGAGGAGAAAAGGAATTAACTTTTTGACAACTGTACACATTATGATTCCTCGTTGTCTCTTAAAGGGATACTATAGTAAGACTCACGATTAGAGTTAGGTTTAAAATTGCGTGTTAGAAAATGGCTTAGATTTGTGAATATTTGACGTCTCTGCAATTTTTTTCTTTCCACATATAACTCGACCAAATTAATTTGTTTGTCAGAATGGGGGCAGATGTGATTTAAAAAACCCACAAGTTTTTTTTTTCGAATCATAGAGACTGTGCCGCTGGCCGTGGGGGAAATCAAATGTGGCTTTCGGTATAAAGAAATGTTTTCAATGACAAAATAAAATAATTTTGATTAGAACCAGATTTTTTCCAACAAGATGCAAATGATTTTCTTGTTCCTGTTTTTCTGGCGTAGCCTCTAGTGCAGACGAAACCTTATGAAGATGAAACGCATCAGTACAGAAATTGCGAAAATAAGGGTTTTATTAAACAGGTTGTTGATGGCTTTCTTTGATAAAAAAAGTAATGTCAATATTTCCCTTCACAGAGTAATCAAAAGGAAAAGTGTACATGTTTGCTGTTTTCTGAAATCACGGATGGTAGGAATTCTTCGATTCGATTATGTAAAAGACCGACTTGTCACATTTTACCGTGTGATGTTAGAAACTTACGAAATAATTACAGATAATTCGACGACGCGAAAACCGAAATACACAATAAATTTAACAGATTAAACACAAGATAATTTCCGATTACATACACACATAGTAGCCTGATATTGAGTACCCTAACCCTTAATAAATATAGCATAACAATATTTTTATCATATATATGTGTATGTATGTGTGTGTGTTTTTGTGTGTGAGTCACAAAATCTTTGAAGAATTAGAATAATCATTATAGCAATTCCTCGAATTTACAAGAATCCTCAACAGAATGCAGAAAGCATTGGACGGCCGCATCGTCCTAAGTGGACTCATCGTTGCTCTTGGGGCACAAACCTGTGGGTTATGAATATCTGGATGAGTATTGCCACAGAATTTGTGAGTAGTGGCGCTATATCGTGTCTAGTCAGTCTCTTCTTCGTCACCGAGACGCATCGGTCCAGTGTTATGATGCTTACGTTGTATGGTAACGGTCCGGGTTCGATTCCCAGTAGTG